GTTAAAGCAGCCAGCATGGTGTAAACTGAGTTCACTAAAAGGTCAAAGCAACAGGGTCCAGGTCAGGGAAAGACTAATCAGAGAAGAACTTTCTGTTTGACACTTTAATCTGTGAGAAACCTGAGGCTAGAAAGAGCCGTTAATAAAATCGGGTGTGACGGGCGTTTTCACTTTGAGGCGCAGCTCTTGTCTTCCAGCACTCTTTCAATGTGCATGACACATTTACAAAGTGAATAGTAGCACATTAATATACTGTGGTAAGCAAATCTGTAACGGTTCCACACACACACTTGTACACACAGTTTACAGGCGTCAAGTGTTCTCTTTTAAAAAGGTGAAAATAAGAGGGAAAAAAACAATGTCTTAACATTCCACCTTTTCCCTTACTAAATAATTAGACCTCTCATGTTGACCGACTCTCACATTGACTAAACCCTCACACTGATCAAACCCTCACACTGATCAAACCCTCACACTGATCAAACCCTCACATTGACTAAACCCTCACACTGACTAAACCCTCACACTGACTAAACCCTCACACCGACCAAACCCTCACACCGATCAAACCCTCACACCGATCAAACCCTCACACTGATCAAACCCTCACACTGGGCAAAACCCTCACACTGGCAAAACCCTCACACCGGCAAAACCCTCACACCGACCAAACCCTCACACCGACCAAACCCTCGCATTGACTTAACCCTCACACTGATCAAATCCTCACATTGGCAAAACTCTCATCAACTAATCCCTCACACCAACCAAACTCTCACGCTGACTAAACCCATACGCCGACTAAACTCTCTCACATCAATAAAAAAAATCTCTCATGTCGATCAAACAACTAAACCCTTACATAAAGATCAAACCCTCACATTAAGTAAACCTTCACACAGACCAAATCCCCTCACTAAATGATCCCTCACACTGACCAAAACCCCACACGCTGCCCAAAACCCCACACGCTGCCCAAACCCTCACGCGCAGACCAAACCCTCATTGTGTTACATGGTAAAAATGAAGAGATGTAATGAAATGTAGCTGTAAAGAGTACACTATACATAGACTAGTTTGTGTTTTTTCCCTTCACAAACATACATTTTCTTTATATTTTGTACAATGTCTACGGACATTTTTGACTAATGCCTAACGCATTGTTTAGTGTGATCAGTTTGGAACACAGCCAAGATTTCAGGCAAAGGAGACGTGAAGATGCCATAAACACACTAACAGGGCTATCCCCATATGGAGTGTTTTTCCTTTACAAAAGTCTCTGATGAGATTTCACAGGTCAACTACAAGAGAAAGAGAGAGAGAGAGAGAGAGCGCAAGAGAGTGAGAGAGGTTTGAGGGTCGAGAGAGGAAAGAAAATGCCTCGGGAAGGGAGGAGCTGCAAGAAAAATATTCTGTCCACTGAAAAATCTCTCTCCATTTCACACTAGCACGCAAGGCTTCACTACCACTGGGCGTTTCAGTGTGAGTAACGAAGAAGGGGGGTGGTTGGGGGTGGAGGGCAGGGTCCTGAGGTTTGGAACGTGTCCCAACTTCAACTGCACTTTAAATGACTCCAAAATCAAAGCAAGAAGACAGGCGTGTTATGTGACAAATTACATGTGGAACAAGGTCCAAAGAAAACATCTGCAGACAGAATAGTATGGAGATTCTGCCAGAACTTGAAATGAGAAATACTGAGGAAATGTCGTGCCCTGATTCTCAGCCATGACTGGCAGACAGGAAGAGGTAAGATGTACGCAAGAACCATGATCACAACCAGGTCGCATTGAGTCTTACTCATAATGTTGCCACACAACATCCTGTACATGTTCAACACACTCAGTACAGCTCATCTTTTCCATGACATCACCTATTACACTTTTATACTAGCGTACTACTAATACATCATGAACTTAACCTGTTAAACCTCCAGGATCCATCAGCAGATCCAGGCTCCTCACACTCCACATTACACACATACACACACTTCCTTATTAGTTTCACTCAATAATATGCTTCTCATTTATGACCCACTGATGCACAGCGGTAATCCTGTAGCTCACAAATCGCAACATGGTGAAGGAAAGACAGCGATGTATACACACACATCGAGGATCACGTGTTCATTTAAATCCAGTTTAACTAACCAACAACCACTGCAGACACCTCCGAGTTCATACAAAGTCTGTCAGAACACATATCGCTGTTTAAGTACTATCCGAAGTTCAAATATTTACATATTTAAAGGCGAAAGGATAAAACGTTCCATTTTTACTTGAACACCGTTGAACACTGGTTGCAACTAAAGGGCCAAAATGTGGTCGTCTATTTTTCATTTTTCTGGTCTTGCTGCTCAATCACACCATTTAGTGATCTGACAAATTTAAACAACTATACTATATTCAATATGGCCAAAAGTTTGTGTACCCCTACCCATCCCATTCCTGGTTTATTCCCCCTTTGCTGTTATAATAAGCTCTACTCTTCTGGGAAGGCTTTCCACTAGATATTGGAGCGAGCTGTTGGGATTTGTGTTCATTCATCCACAAGAGCATTAGTGAGATCAGGCACTGATGTTGGGTGAGGAGGTCTGGGGTGCAGTCGGTGTTCCAGTTCATCCCAAAGGTGTTCAGTGGGGTTGAGGTCAGGGCTCTGTGCAGGACCTTCACACACCATGTCTTCATGGAGCTCGCTTTGTGCACAGGGGCGTCGTCATGCTGGAACAGGTTTGGGCCTCTTAGTTCCAGTGAAGGGAAATTGTAATGTTACAGCATACAAAGACATTCTAGACAATCATGTGCCTCCTACTTTGTGGTAACAGTTTGGGGAAGAACCACATGAGTGTGATGGTCAGGTGTCCACAAACTTTTAGCCATATACTGTATAGTGTCATTCTTTAATAAATAAAATTCATTGGCAAATCCCTGTGATACATGAGTATTAAATCTCTTTGGTTTTTAGGAAAATAATCAACTTTGTGGTGGTAACTGTAACTCTGCTTCACCACACCACTCTCAGCTTTCCTACAACAGTACATGCTGTAGCACTGATGTAGATGCTGCAAATCTATAGTCCGATATTTAAAATGCACTGAACGTGAATACGGTTCTAAAAGCTGGCAGCTGTAGGTGATGCTGATTGTTGTTTTCATGTCATGGTTATGTCTGTAAGCTGGTGTCAAGCAGGTCTGTCCTGAAAAAGAGATTTATACCTCAATGAGACTGACCTACTTAAACAAAAGGCAAAAAAGAAAAAAAGGTTTAAACCTCTCCTTCTCCTTTTCAGGCAACACTGTGTCTTTTCTAATAAAGGGGTGTGAACAGCACGACTTACCCGCTGTGTCATTTCCCTGAGCTCAATTCACTCGCAAAGTCAATCATACACTCTTTTCACCAACGTACTTCCTCTTCGCCAAAGGTTTATCCGGCCAGTGGCTGCACTACAAATCCAAACTGCACAACCTGTTCTGAAGTACTTCACCAGAAAATAAGCTTTTATTGCTTTCCACTTGAGTAGGTGCTGACAAATTCTTACACTCCATGACACACACACACACACACGTCCAGCTCCACCTTGCCTGGGCTCCTTATTAGTAATCAGTAAACATGTAGACAAGTGGGTGTTGTGATACAGAGGACAAAACTGAAGGGGGAAAAAACATTAGTTAGGTAAATTCCTGTGCCAACACATTTACCAACCCGGGCACAACGTAACGAGCTGAATCATGAGTGTTAGAGCAGGAAAATGGTCAAGTAATATCAATACAAAGATCTGTGAATATGCTATAACATGCAAAGTAGAAGTTCCTCCATGTGCATCTGTTAATAAGGAATAAAACTCTTGGGGGCATGCTGGTACGGGTAAATAATCCATGTTGAGGTGGTGTGATATGGCCCAACGCAAAGCAGATAAATTATTAACAATACTTATTAACAATACTAACCATTTATTGGTACATTTAATGTTATAGAATGTATCGCAACAGTCATTTTCTTACCAGCCTCTCTTTTTCTCCATTAAAAAATAAATAAATAAAATTCCCATGCAGACTTCCTGACCAATCGGATTTAAGAATTCAACAATACTGTGGTGTAACTTATTATATAATATAGTGTCTAAGTATATAGACCACGATTGGTTCAAAGTCATTGATGGCATTCAGTGACACCACAAACGGAGCTCATACACAACACTTCCTGAATCACTTTAAGACTGAAATACTGAGAAAGTCTCTGTGTAAATGGAAAAACGTGACCTTCGCACTCTGTAAACAAATATAACCCAAACACTACGATTACAAACGGAACACGCCGCGAAACAGGTTAGTTCTTGTTATCAGTTATGTTATAATAGATATAAACATATAAATCTTTCGACACGACTCTCTTTTTTGTTTTCCCTCTCTCTCTCTCCAAGTTAATCACATTGAAAAAAAAAAAGCTGCTTGTTATTATGTTACTGTGAAGATGGAAAGTGTAAACTTCTGTCCTGAAGACTTTTCCCATGTCAGAAAACGTCCTGACACTGAAGACTCCTTCTCTCGTTCTGTCGCCAGTCTCGCTTTTTTTCTCTCTCGAAGTTAATCAGATTTTTTAAAAAAACAAAATTGCTGGAAAGTGCAAACTCCTCTTTCCTGAAAACTTTCCCGTTACCTAAAGTTACAGCTTAACCTCAGACTGTTACAAAGCGCTGATACTGGAGACTCCTTCCAAACATGCTAAATAAACGCCTCCTCACGGAAAAATTCACATCAACAATTTCATGTTTTTTTTAAATCCGTTTATGTTGCGCGTCAGCCGCACACGCCCCTGTGCAAGCTGTTACTATAGTTATTGTTGTTCTTTCAGCTGCTCCTGTTAGGGGTCGCAGTAGCGGATCGTTGGTCCGTATGTTTGATTTGGCCCAGATTTTTTTTTACGCCGGATGCCCTTCCGGACGCAACCCTCCCCAAGTTTACCCGGGCTTGGGACCGGCACTGGAAGTGGCCTGCCTGGGGTCGGTTCCCTAGCCGGGAATCGAACCCGGGCTGTAGCGGTCCGAGCGTCGAGCCTAACCACTAGTCCTCTAGGTACCACCGAGTTGTTACTATAGTACCAACAAGCGCATTAATATAAAGCTGTGATTCGCCTTGCAGCCGGAACTACTTTCGCTATAGAATGCTAATTAACACCTTCTGACCAATCAGAGTCGAGAATCCAATTCAGATACAAAACTGCACTAATGAACCATAAAGTTAAACCTAGAAGAACAAAAATAACAACAACCGCATTTGAGCACAGTAGCTCCTGCAAAACTCACAACCAGGCTGTTATTTATCCTTTCAACCACACACAGACAGAAGTTAGCTAGTTAGCTAATGAGTTAATCAGGTGTTTATCTGTTAACTAGTTTAGTGGAACGGAACACTGTGCACGCGCTCGCGCTCGCGCACGCGCCGCAGTGTCAACACATAACTGCACATCCGCTGCTCTTTCAGCGTTTAAATCCCACCTCACAGACTTCTGGGGTTTTTTGTGCATTATGACCCGTTCTTTAATCACGTTGTAGTTCTGCACTCACTAGTCCATGCGTTGCTCCCCGCCGTGTTTTCCCATCCAGGTTTTTATAACATTACTCCTCCGTGGCCCGATCTTACTGCAGTGTCTCGCGCTCACTTTAAAGAAACGACAGAAACACGCAACAGCCCGCCTCTACTTGCACCTATGCACAGCTAACATGTCCAATCCTCGCCATTTTCTAGGGCTTTCAGTGCTTTCTCCTAGTCGTGAGACGGTCATGCTGCCTCGCGCGCCCACGCTGTTATGGATACGCAGGGAGGAGGGGCGTGTTCCAATCCGCGAGCCCTAGCTAGTGAGAACGCTAGGTAGTAGTGCACTGCCGTGACGTCATCACCCATCTTCTTTGCACTGATCAATACAAAGAATGTGTGGAATAATGGAAAAGTTTTTTGCAATGTGATTGTTGGATTTTTTTTTTTTTTTTTCAGAAATTAAAACCATATGGCATTTATTTACTTTCTTTATATATATATATATATATATATATATATATATATATATATATATATATATATATGTTACATTTATTTACTTATATTCAGTTATTATGCACTAGACCATCACTGATGCGTGACAACAATTTTATTTAATGACCTCATATCCTCCTGTAGGAGTTTAAGTACTTGGGGTCAACAGTCCAGAGTAATGGAGAGTGTGGGAAAGAGGTAAAGAAGCGAGTGCAGGCAGGTTGGAATGGGTGGAGAAAGGTGTCGGGAGTTCTGTGTGATAGAAAAACATCAGCGAGAATCAAGGGGAAGGTGCACAAGACAGCGGTGAGAGCGGCCATGCTGTACGGTTTAGAGACAGTGGCACTGAGGAAGAGACAGGAGTCAGAGCTAGAGGTAGCAGAGCTGAAGATGTTGAGGTTCTCTTTGGGAGTGATGAGGTTGGACAGGATTAGGAACGAGTACATCAGAGGGACAGCTCATGTTGGACGTTTGGGGGACAAAGTCAGGGAGGCCAGATTAAGATGGTTTGGACATGTTCAGAGGAGGGAGAGGGAGTATATTGGTAGGAGAATGTTGGACATGGAGCTGCCAGGCAGGAGGTGAAGAGGAAGGCCAAAGAGGAGGTATATGGAGGTAATACATGAGGATATGAAGCTAGTGGGTGCAAGTGTTGAGGATGCAGAAGATAGGGATAGGTGGAGAGTGATGGTTCGCTGTGGCGATCCCTGAAGGGAAAAGCCGAAAGAAGAAGAAGAAGAAGACCTCACATCCTCCTGTCAGATGTAATAGCTGTAATAAATTTGTTGGCACAAATGGGGGAAAAAATGACCTTCGATATGGAAAAGTCCAATCATACAATCATTCAAATCAGAATTCCTAGTCACATCCATCTTGCCCGGGTTCTCTGGCATAAACACACCTGACGTCACAACAATATGGCGGCGCACGTCCACTGTAAAGGATGAGATTCCCTTCTACTTCATAAAACTTTTGAGTTGTGAAAAGGGGTTTTAACAACTTACTGATGCAATAAGACCATTTTTATGAGCAAAGAAAAACAAGACAGCTGACTTACCAATAATACATCCTTTCTCATCCTTCACACTAATCATGAAGAAATTATTCATGTAGATTTACGTATATTATGTGTTTATCAAATGCTGACATGAGCTGTAGAAACATGACTTCGCTCCCGACATCTGTGTTTCTCTGAGCCGAAGCGCCGGGACACGTTTAGATCGGAACTCAGGAAAATCGAGCTGGAACTTTTCCGAGTACAGCAGATTGCAACATGGTTTGCATCGTCATTGCGACCAAACCTCTCCAAGTACAACATAACAACCAACATTTCTTTCATCACCTAACATCAGCTAAGTTAACTAGCTTAAGGACACAGGTTCTACAGGGAAACGTTCCTCTAGATCATCTCACCCTCATCACCTCATAATCTCAAAGCCATTGTGTCTGTGGTGCTAAATTAGACCCCAATGACAATTTATGTCATCCGAATGAATCATTAAAAAGATTTTTTTTTTTAAATCACGGTTTTGTGTTTAGGTGTACTTTAACTGAAGACAGCTAGTGAATTAATGTGGCCATGTAGCTGATATTAACAAGACGAAATTGATATTTACATTACACAAGAGATAAGCCTATAAGCCTATACAGTGCTAAAGTATTCTGAACACCCTGATAGCTCATAGCAACGGGAGAATATTTTGTAACGTAACATGTCCAGACAAACATGGGTTTGTCTTCCTCAGAGGTCTAAGTAACAATAAATGGATTTCTGGGAATAAAAAGTCTATAGAGGTGTGTGATTATGTTACAGACACGGATATGACAGTTCATTGTGTCACACTACAGCTCTCTGTCTGTAAAGTAGAATTAACAGTCTATAGACGAAGAGTGAACTAGAAAATACAGATATATTAAAAAAAAAACATTGGTGTGTCTCGTTTTTATTAACAATTCTCAATTTGATGAGGTGCCGTGGTGCACCTATGTGTATATATATATATATATATATATATATATATATATATATATATATATATATAGTATGATATAGTATTCATATACTATGAATACTCAAATACTTAGTACCACATGGTGAAATTTTCAAAATGGCAGACACACCGAGCAATTTCTTCACCACTAATCAAAATTAGCAGCAAATAATATTTCATTGTGTACATTTCAGGTTTTAAGATGAGCCGTTTCTATCCGGTGTGAGATACAGTGGTGTAATTTAGCACAGTAGTGTAAAACATTTACAGTTTAAGACCTCTGCTCCGTACGAATCTTGTGACGTACTGGACTCGGGTATGCTAATGCTTCTGAACACGTTAGCAACTGCATACTGAGGCAAAAATCTAAAACTACAAAACATTGATTTATATCAAAGACTTTTTTGGAATCAAGTTGGATTACACTGAAATGTTGTTTTTAAAAAAAACTAGTATCCTATGTGTTGTGTGTGATGTTTACACTTCATTTAACACTTCGTGTAGGCTATACTGGCTAGTTAATGGTTAACGAGCTGCAGTTAACAGGCTTCCTCACACACAATAAGCTGCGTCTGGTGTACACAAGTTCAAATCAATTCAACTCAATTTTATTTGTATAGCGCTTTTAACAATGGATATTGTCACAAAGCAGCTTTACAGAAATATATAAATTCAAGATGTACATTTTAAAGTTATGAATTTATCCCCGATGAGCAATGAGGCGGCGGTGGCAAGGAAAAACTCCCTGAGACGGCATGAGGAGAAACCTTGAGAGGAACCAGACTCAGAAGGGAACCCATCCTCATCTGAGTGACACCAAATAGTGCGATTCTAAACAACTTCCCTTCTATAATTGTATACTATATGTGTATGCAAGTGTAGCTTGTTGTGCGAATGTGCTGTGAATAAGAGCGCCACTGGTGAATATTTATATCCTCTGCACTTCTGACATCTAGTGGTAGTTATGGATGAGTTTAAATACGGCTGAGTCACCTAAACAGTGCCAGATTGCACACATAGCTCACAGGCCTAGGAAGCGATCTGAAATATAATTTATCTGTTTTATACCTGTTTTGATTTGACACTGTTGAATTCTCAATTCTGACCGGTCAGAAGGCGCTGATTCATTTTCTATAACAGCAGCTCTGACAGTCATGCAGCTGCAAATCACAGGTTCATATTAATCTGTATTTTAATGTCATTGTTTCTATAGAAACAAATTACACCAGGACCTACTGTATAGTGGAGGCTCCTCATAATCTAAGTCTAATAATGAACAAATTAAGTGTTAAGGTGCTGCAGTTTAACAAAGAAAACCGTGTAATCGTGGATACGGTGATGTTTTCTGTAAGGAGACAACATTAAATGTAACTATTAAGAGTTAAAAAGCAAACATGTCATCCATTAATAAATAAAACAATTTTAATCAGTGGCAAGTTCTTGTGGTGTAAGAGGAATAAAACACTTAAAGACATGCTGTTAAGTAAAATTAATCAACTTCTAGGTGTTAACAATAACTCCGCTTCATCAGACTATCACACTGTTGATTATTTTCATCTAGCAGCAAGTTTTATTCCCTACTGAAGTCATATTTTTGGATATTTCGCAGTTTAATCACCAAAAATAACACAAAATTAAGTGTATAGTGTAGTGAGTGGTTTACAGTCTAATTATCTATTCACTCAGGGTTGCTGTGGATCTGAAGTTTATCCCGGGAATACACCCCGGATGAGAAACCAGTCCATCGCAGGACACACACACACACACACACACACACACAGTCATTCACTCCTAGGGGCAACGTATTGTAATTAATCCTCCTACTGGCATGTTTTTGGGAGGAAACCGGAGAACCCGGAGGAAACCCACATGGACACAGGGAGAACCTGAGCTCAAGATTGTAACTGTGCCGCCTAACAAAAATCGAATTAGTGACAAAAGTCTAATTAGTGAGACACACACACAAACCCGGTCACCTTGGCTAATTGACCAATTTATAAATAGTGTATGATTACTGTATTAAAATTCATTATAATGGTAACTTACCTATTTCAG